TTGTATTTGTGTCTCTTACCTGTCGTTTTTTCCGTTGCATCCGGTTTGAAATCACAACGATTCTAAAGAAGTTTTCACTTCAATAATCACACGTTATATAAAATAATAACACGTTGTTAGAGTTTCGTTCGTACCACAGAAAATGTTGAGGTTCGATTTCGGACAAGAGGAAGAGATAAACCTAAGAAGAAATGGATGGATTGCGATGAAGTGTAAAGTATTCGAAATGCCAATAATATTATGGCAATAATAAAACGTAAAAGCAGTTTTATATAGCATATCAAATTCAAATGTGGCAAAAAATAGTTAGTAAATGAAAAAAATAAAAAAACACCGTTGAAATTTCAAATAAATAAAAAAAACATTCAAAAACAAATGTTTTGCGTGTGACTAATTAATATTCACGTAAATTACAACAGGAGTAATGAAACCTTTTTTGCGTCTCTCTAAATTTGTCCACTTATTATTTCTTTTAAAAATGTTTAGGCTCATGTTTTATTTTATATTTAATTAAGTTGGTTTTAATTTTAGTAAATTAATAAAAAACGATTTCACTGCTTTTTTAGTATAACTGTTTCACTTAGTAAATGTTATCTAAAGAGAAACTTCAAAAGCCCAACTAAAACTTTTTTACGAAAGATGTAGCGTGACCGTTTTTTTTAAATCGTATATACTATGCTCATGATGCTTAATGCCTGATATAAATGTAATATTTCGCAAAAAAAAAATACAATAGGTTGTGTATAATTTAATATTTATATTTACCGTGTTATCAAAACGAGAACTTTCCATCTTTCGCGGTCTAACGAATTAACATTTGCTTTTGTACATTAAAATTAAAATCGCTTACGTTATACTTTTTTTTATTGCTTAGATGAGTGGACGAGCTCATAGCCCACCTGGTGTTAAGTGGTTACTGGAGCCCATAGACATCTACAACGTAAATGCGCCACCCACTTTGAGACATAAGTTCTAAGGTCTCAGTATAGTTACAACGGCTGCCCCACCTTTCAAACCGAAACGCATTACTGCTTCACGGCAGAAAATAGGCAGGGTGGTGGTACCTACCCGCGCGGACTCACTAGAAGTCCTACAACCAGTACATAAAATTTAATTTGTTTAATTTCATTTCATTTCATTGTTAGTTTTATGGTAATCCGCCTTCAAATCGACAGGTGAATTAGACGGGAACAGGCCCGTTCCGTTCCGCCTCACGCCCAACATAGCCGAGCTGTTGACGAACATCGGCATCACGGGCCCTCTCACCGCGTCGTCTATAGCCATCGCAAGATGTCTCGTGACACCTAATTTCAAGGTATTGCAATGACTGTTATTTATAGATTGAAATAAAACATAATGCAATCGATAAGTTACTAAAACTGCTGTTTACCAGTAGTAGTATTATCGTGCTTTTTTTTTTTTTTTTTGTTGTTTCGTTGTAGGCTGCCCAAAGGTTGGTATTACTGTGTGTGCTTAATATGTATGTTTCGTATTCGGGTTTACAATTTAATTTGATTTTAGTTTTGTTTTTCTTATTTTTATATTCAATGAACCAAAGGGAAATGGGAGTGATTGAAAATCAGCTCTGTTCGATTTATCGACTTTGAACAGCATTAGCAGAGCCACATCCTTTGCCTTTTTCATTTTTTCTTTTCTTTTATTTATATTTAATTTTTTAGTGTGAAAGGCAATAAAGGATTTTATTATTATTAATATTGTTATTAAAAGTAATATTATTTTTCAGATTCAATCCATATTACGCACGATACTTCGCGACGAAATGGTGACTGGCTATAGAAAACGATTGGAAGATAAATCCGGTATGCCATCAGCGGGAACGTCGACGGAGAACAAACCAGTCGAAATGGATAACGAAACCATAATAAATATGGTGAACAAGGCCGTGACGGTCATCATGAACCGACTCAACTCTCTGGCGTCGTTCGACGGACCCGACAGCAAGGTGGCAACCCTAGTCGCGGCCGCCAACAGCCACGACAACCTTTGCCGAATGGATCCCGCTTGGCATCCGTGGCTCTAAAGACGTATCGACACTATAAACCGAAAGTTATTTTTTATCTGTGTTTTAGTTTTATATGCATACTCTTTAAGTAAAATGTACTGACTTTTAGCTAAAGTAAATTTAGATTATGAAAAACTATTGCCTAATTTTTTTTAGCGTTTTCTTCACACTTTAAACTAAACTGAAAGGGGAATGCCCACTCTCCATAGTGTGCTGGGCCCAAGATGGACATCAAATATTACTATAAAAATTGACTGTTTCAAATTCTTAAATGTATTAGATATCTAAAAATATATTGAAATTGACGCCACTATTATAAGAATAAAATAAAAATAAAAAATAGTTTTGAGGTTAATTTTCTATATAAATAAGTGTCGGATTGTGAGATACTTAAAGAACTTTTCTTTTCTTAATGTTTAATTTATTAATTATGATAAGAGAGATGTTTCTAAGGTATTTTTATTCAATGTATGGTTTTGAATCTCGGTCAGGTTAAAACAACAATTCACACAACGTTTTTCAGTCGTAGTATGAAACGTTAATGATCGGTATCCATAATCGAATGTAGCTGTGATCCTTAACTCCTGAGCCAAAGTCGTCGTTGAAAGATAAAATCCATAAAACAAAACCAGTAAAATAAATCGAAGAAAAATCAAAACACATCCATTTTGAACGTAAGCACAAGCAGCAAGCGAAGTGTCAGTCATTCAGATTAAATTCAGTGTTCATTAAATTTATATTTCGATTATTTTTTTAAATAGCCCATAGTTGTTTTATTTTTCTTAATCTTTTTTTTGCGGGTACACATTATTTTTTATGTTTTTGTTTTAGTTGTACATATTTAAATAACAATACTAGTAAAGTTTTTTTTTTATTCCTTAGATGGGTGGGCGAGCTCACAGCCAACCTGGTGTTAAGTGGTTACTGGAGCCCATAGACATCTTCAACGTAAATGCGCCACCCACCTTGAGATATAAGTTCTAAGGTCTCAAGTATAGTTACAAGTTAAATTCCAATGGGTATGTCTTTAATGTTATTTTATGTGCTTATAATCGATTAAAATCGATTTATTAACTCATTAATGTAATATAAAACATATAAATAAAACATTTTAAGTTTTCTCAAATACTGATAATGTTTTATTTACATATTTAAAATGTTTACTTAATACTTAAAAGGTTTTGATGCTGGCAATATTTTTCCCGCAAAAATAAAAAACCTTGATTTTTCAATAGAGTTACTTTTTTAATTACTTATTGTAAGCTGTAGTGGCGCTCATTTGGAAGAAAGTAAATGCATATTTATTTATGACAAAATTAATGCACTAAGTATTTTTTCTCTAATCTATTGTCCGCTTTGGGCCTGAAATGGGCATTCATTCCCCTTTTGGTATTAGAAATAGAAATATTTTCATTGGCGGTGGCATTGGCATCAAACTAATGAAATCTGCCTATCTAGTATTACACTAATTTCTACCTACGTGGACTACAGAATATGGCACGTAGATGGAGACCCGTGCTCAACATGAACTGTAGCCTAAATTCTTTCCCAGATTTCCAAACTATTTCTATTTTTATTTTTATTACTATATTTCGTCAAAATCGGTTCAGTAGTTTAAGCGTATAAATGTAAGAGAAGCTTGATGTTGATATGCGAACATGAGAAGAGTCTTCGACAATAGGCGGCTGCTTGGCTGTGGACCCGGCATTGTGTTAGGTGGATCCAGTCTCTATATATATATAATACATATGTAATATAGCTTGCATATACAAGTTACGAACAACAACTCTTGAACCGTGGGTCTACTGAGGAATATCACACTCTCGGTAGAAGATCTTCCCTTTGTCATTAAACCATCACCAAATTACCTTTATACTTTTTAAGTTAGCTTCACATTTGTATACTATCACCCAAAGTTATGTACCTATCCAATTTTCACTATTTATGACTATAAATATATATATATGTATATACCAAGCGGTTTAAGCTTATATATTATAGTCTATTTATTAAGTGTACATATATCTTATTTAAAAGTCTCCTGTCACGTGTCGCATCCCATCATCGCCTCTAAACCTACGTTTTCATATTATGATTAAGAGCAATGTTCAAGAAATCGGTGAATAAAAAATCAATTATGTATTCAACTATAGCAATTGATATTTGAAGCAATAATGCAATGCTATGTCTTGTGAGAAAAATTAATAGAAACTACTTAATGTATAAAACTCTTGAGTACATATTTTGAAATTTTGCATTTAATCCCGATTGGTCATTTCGTGATGAATATTTTATCGATTTAAAATTAGAATAATCAATGTTAATTAACATTAAAAAAGATGTAAAAGTAAACAAATTAATTTTATTTACCCAGTTCCCACCACGTTAAAGAAACTTGATTGATGGTTGCGCGAGTGAAATTAATAGCTATTGCATGTGTACTAGTGACAGCTAAGTACTTGCATAGGTGAAAGTACGGGGATTGCAAATGCGCCGCTCATAATGAACTCGCGATCTCGCTCTAACTTTATATCTACCACACAAGCAATGAGTAATCAATAAACAAAGGCGTATTACATTCAACATCTACTGTTGGAGAAATAATGTGCAGTTTGAATGTGGTTACTTAAAATTGGTGCACCCGCGAATATTTTTGCAGCTGACAAGCCAAATGCAGCATTCCACGATGTTGAAATTCGCATTTCATTTTCTAAACGTTCAAGAGTAAAGACTAGGTACTAGATTGTGGGCACCTATATTAATCAAAACACTATACTTTGTAAATCAAAAAATCTGATGTATCACGGGAGGAGGTAAAGGATGCTGAGACGCAGGTCAGAAGGATACAGTGAGAAGCGAGGTCGGCGACAGGCGCGGATTGCGTCGCGACTCTCGTTGCTACGCGGCGGCGGCTGAGGCGAGGGGCAGAGAGGGCCACGTCGGCGCGCGGCCCCCCGCCATCGTCAGTCCGCCAACCGGCCTCGCTCCTAGTGTTCGTGTGTTGTGTGCCCTTTCGAGCTTCACCGGCTAGTGTCCGACCTCTGTAACCGACCGTTTATGACATTCGACAACCCCGCCCTGTGCATTTTCCAAAGTTGCATTTCGATCAGTGCGAGGAATACCTCGGTCTCGAACGACTCGCCCTTCAGACGTAAACGTACACAGTTTGCCTTGCCTTTATTTATGTTGTCATTATAGTGTGGTGAATACCTGTGTTGTTCGGACGATAACCACAATATTTCGGAGATCGAACTATCGTCAAATTTCAACTGAAGGTGAGTAGTTTTTGATTTCGCGAACTGCCTACCGGGACGCTCGATTCGCCGTTGCGTGGCTCGGTGTCATCAATAAATTCCGCGGAAAGACTGAGATGGGGTGTACAACTAAGTACGTCGTGACGTACGTATATTGTACAGCGGGATGTTGTAAATATTGATGATGGAACAATTCGCATGTTAAACAACTTAGAACCTACTGCAACATTTTTGTACAAATTGTCCAAAATAACAGTATCAATATCCTTAATTATTATCAAAATCTTATTGGATTCGGTCCTATCCCACTATACCATATGGTAGACGGAAGCGAATGGATAAGAAAACATGGAGAGGCGCGGGGCGGTGCGCGGCCGGTCCAGCGGGCAAGCGACCGCATTCCATACGGAATGCTGGATTATATACAATGTCAGTGTGAGTTTGAGCCCCTAGATATGTTGCTTCATATTTGCAATAATTCTGTTGCCTGATATGATCGCCTGCAATGTGAATCGAGAATATTGAAGAATTTGATGTCAGGCATAGCGCAAGTCTGAATGCCCCACACCTCTCTTCAAATCATATTATGTAGATGATATTATTAGCTCTCATAATAATATAATTTTAGGTAGGTTTCAATAGTAATAATTGAGACATTAATTATTGGATGAGATAATAATGAAGAATTTATTTCTAAGCTATTTATAACTGAAATAATACTCTAAAATGTTTAAACTAAATTAGTTACGTATATACTAGTTATTACAATACCAATAGTGACAAAATTAGGTAGATACCTAGCATTGGTACAACGGTAACTCTACTCAAATTTGAAATTAAAGAAAATGTACCTAGATACATTAGTTTGCGGTTTGTCGGAGATTAGATAGATGTGGGTAGGTATTATTTTTAAACTCTAACAAATATTTCATTGTAGCTACCTTCAACGTATTGCCTATTGCCTAAACTATAAATCGGTTGGTATTGTTAAATTTTTACGTCGTGTCATCAAATTTTACTATTGAATAAACAAAAAAAAAGTGTGCATTCGTTTTAGAAACTTGTTCGATATGATACTTATAAATACGAGGATCGAGCTCGCTAGCGTTACATTTTGAAACATCCGTTTTTGCTTCCGTTCTGTGACCTATAATATTGTACAATTAAATCTAAAGCGACACTGTTTATAGCATTAGAACGTAATATAATTAGAAGTAGATAGTGCTTGGAATATGCATTGAAAATACTATTACCAAAACCTTAAAGTTTCTTACCGTGCTTGCATGGATCATTATTACGATTCTGATTATTTTTACAGCGAAGCAATCAATTATTCTGTTTTGAATACTATTAGGATACACCTAAATCGAATGCAATTGAAATTTAAATCGCGTGTCTCGTGTGACGAACGGCAAAATTTGGATTTGGGATAAACCTTCGATAAGACTAACCGAGCTCTCGGTCCCTAGACAATATTACATTATACGTATTAGCGTTAACAGTGGATACGGATACAAATGTATGGGGATTGATATAAATAAATTTGCTTTTGTCAATCCCATACACTGGTGTACTTTTACAAGTGTTAATGCTACTACAATGTTACATAATCTAGGTACCCTGAGCGTGTCTACTTATCTACTAATAGTAAAATTTGAACAGAAGGAAATGACTAGTAATAATCGCCCGTGTTACGTGTTTGTCTTTCGATCTTTGGTGAATGTCGAAAAACTGCCAAAAGCCTCTTAATATTTAACACGTACGTCTGGCCAATAATTAGATACAAAAAATACAAATTTGCCACTTGCCTTTAATTTCCTTATAGATTACTAAAACACACCTCTTTGTGTTGATTCTCGGAACCAGTTAAAACTTTCGGTTATTGCTGCGAAAGTGTTCATGTTACTAAAATTCCTCGCTTTTTTTTCAACCACATCTGTAATATGCTTAGCAGTAGAAACGGAAAAACTGTTAATTGAAAGGCAGATATTAGCCTTCACGATGAATACCGCTTACTAGACGCTGCCGCTGCAGTGTACTTCAAAAAATCCTTGACATTATGAACAACTTTTATTTCTTCTAGTCAAATGCCACAAGACAGATTCAGACAAGTAAAATATCATTAATCTATTATATTATATAATAAGTCGATCACATCGCATTGATTTACGTTAATTTCATTGAATCATTTTTTTTAAATTGTAATTCGAAACTATAAATAAAGATATACTTAAGTAATAAATTTCGCCTGCGATCGTCAATATTACCTACTTACTGTATGTTTTAGGCTTTTGTATTCGCAATACAATATAATACGTATGACCTTTACTTTCTTTGGATTCATAATACAAATTGAAAATAATTCGAAAATATTATACCTATTGTGTGCTTTGCGTATTTTGTGTTAGGTATTCACGTTATGATTTTGGTATATGAGTTAATGTAACTAACTGATTAATAACGTAGTCTTGCTATCTACGCGAAATAAGGAAATAAATACAACGATAAAAAAATTGATGAATAAAAAAAATACATTAGTTTTAATGATTATTTACAGTTCGTTATAATGTGGATGCTCGCTATGGTGGTTCTCTTGAATTCAGGGTTTGATAAGAGCATTATTTTTGACGGCATTGATTCTTTGAATATCCAATTGATGGCTTTCAAAATGAGTATTAATCACTTCATGAATGGGATGTAGGAGTTGGCAGTAACGGTTCGTCTTGTTTGCAAAGGTGTGGACGACGGACCTTGTGTGCGTTTGCGCACTTCACTCAAACACACTGACGCAAAATCGCCGTCGTAGCGCGGCCGTTGAACCGAAAACTCGAGGAATTTCTCCGTCGTCGTCAATTTGCAGAACAAGAGGAAAATTAAATCTTACGGAGGGGTTTCGATCTTTTACATACGTTCATTATAATTTCGACGGATATTCATGGTTGAGATGTTCATCAAATGTGACTAATGGCGTTTAGCTTATGCCGGCGTTCATAAGGAGAAAGTGACAATTATCAAAACAAACAACTAGGTAATAATGCAAACTTAGTTTTGTATAAACTATCTTCATATTTGTTTGTTATTACTTACTGAAAACTGCATACTATGTGTTTGCATTAAACAATAAACGCCTCATTAACAAATCATTTCACATGTGCCATTATAAAAAAAAATGCTTTAGTTTTCCATTTTATTATAATATATTATTATATCGATCAATTTATCGCCTACACGTGTAGATTTCGTAACACGTTCGGTATGCGAAATCTACATGACATACGACAGGTCAGTGACATTGCCATCAAAATAAGTATACTAAGATAAATTGATACGTTAGAATTGACTTTTTTGAAGACATTTTAATAAAACAAATATTAATGTTTGCACTGATAAAACATTTAAATTACTTTAGTCATTGTGGGATTTAGTGCGAAAAAACGATAAAAATTTGATCAACACACATTACATAATAATTTGAAAGCAAATTTAATTTAATTTTTTACTGGTGGTACGTCTTGTGAGTCCGCTCGGGTAGGTACCACCAGCCTGTCTATTTCTGCCGTGAAGCAGTAATGCGTTTCGGTTTAAAGAATGGGGCAGCCTTTGTACTGTTAAAACTGAGAACTTAGAGCTCATGTCTGAAGGTAGCTGGCGGCATTTACGTTGGAGCTGTCTATGGACTCCGGTAACCACTTAATATCAGGTGGGCCGTGAGCTCGTCCACCAACCTAAGCAATAAAAAAAAATAAACAATCAGTGAAAAATTTAAACCTTGAGTAATGCTTCAGTTTGTGAAATAAAAAAACAAACACTGCATAATGCATTAATTAATCCCGTTTTTAATTGTGCCATTTGATGGAAACCATCCACTAAAACTGTAAAGAAGGTATTTTGAAAACACTGAAAAATATATCATCTTCATCATCATCACCAGCTTATACCAGTCCACCACCGGACATAGTCCTCTCCAATTGCACGCAACTGAGTAAGATCCTCGGCTTCTCTCATCCAGCACCGTGGCTGGCAAGAGCTAGATGAGAAAAATATAATAACGTAACAAATTCGCATATTATAATTTTTTTGGGTTGGTGCCCGAATCTCCCTAGCCACACGGTATATTCGTGTATGTGGATTTGGTGGTTTAATGCACCCACTAAACTTCCAAGCATGACCGAAGCTAATCTAACCTAAAAAAAAACCACGATTAAGTTGTTGTATAATATTATCTAGTTACATAATGCTGTCTCTCTGAATTCTTAATTACCACTCAAGATTCTAGTACTTTTGCATCATTGCTTGTTCGTAACTTACCAATAAAAGGTTGCATCACTCAGCATTCACTTTTAATGTTTCGAAACTATGCATGACTTGTCCGTTGCACAAACATCCGGCTTGAACTAGCATGTGACGTCTATGTTAGATGAAAATTGATATATTCGATGGTTCAGCTAGAAATTATTGAATTTCTCTTTTTCTTTGCACGTGGGACCTACTTCATGCTACTCGAAGATTTGTTTATCAGTTAGCTCTAATTTGGCCTCGTTTTTACAAATATTAGCCTTTGTATATGATAGTTTATATATATCTTTAAATCGATGTATAAACCATTTTATATACATACATATACCGGAAACAAAAGACGCCGTCAGAGTATACCAAAAACTCTGGTTTATAATGGCTTTTCATATTGTCAATTTTTTCAACAATTACCGACTATGTTTAAGTAAGCAATAATAAGTATATATATGTTTTTCTATTGTATGCTTCTTGTTTTGTTGATTGTATGTATAACGAATTTGCACGTAGCCATGCAAATACCTTTATGTTACACATTGTACGTCGTTTGAGGCGAATAAATAAACAATAAAAAAAAACACTCTATCGTAGTTAAAATGCTTTTATCAAATCTTAATAGGCAAAATATACTTAGGTAGTTCGATAAACACATCCAAAATAGTGTGCTAACAATCGGAAACGCTATACGCTTATCTGTAAAACATGGCCGCCTTATTTTTTAATTTCAA